GTGAGAGAGACAGAGAGAGAGAAAGGTCTTCCTTTTGCTGTTGGTTCACCCTCCAATGGCTGCCACGGCCGGCGCACTGCAGCCTGGGCACCGCTCTGATCCGAAGGCAGGAGCCAGGTGCTTCTCCTGGTCTCCCATGGGGTGCAGGGCCCAAGCACTTGGGCCATCCTCCACTGCACTCCCTGGCCACAGCAGAGAGCTGGCCTGGAAGAGGGGCAGCCGGGACAGAATCCGGCGCCCCGACCAGGACTAGAACCTGGGGTGCCAGCGCCGCAAGGCGGAGGATTAGCCTAGTGAGCCGCGGTGCCGGCCCCGATTGCTTTCAAAGTGGCCATGTCCTTTTACACGGAACTTGGGTCCAAAATTTTAACCATCGTGTGTGTGTGTGTGTGTGTGTGTGTGTCTCCTGCTACTCCCCAGTGTTAATAATTAGTTAATTTAAACCATTATTGCCTGATGTTCATTCTTTGCTGGTCCTGGGATTAGAGGTAGGAGGGAGAAAGGAGAGGGACATCGTTTGTGTTCTGCCTTCCCTGGTGGTTTGGATTCTTGGTCACGATTCTTTGACCTTATATCCTTGCTTTGAAGATGGGGGATCTTAAAGGCAAGAAGGGGTTGGACAGGCAGAAATGAGAGCATTGGGAGAGCCGCCCAGTGGGGAAAACAACCTAGCAAAGGCGTAGGGGTCAGGCCGAGGCCCACTGGGGTGCAGACTCTGTCACCAAGTGTCCTGGAGCACAGTGGCGAGTCCACAGTTAGGGCCCTCGAATGTCACTTCTGGCGTTCCCTGCAGAAGGGCCCACGTGCGGTCTGTGTGTTGGGTCTCAATCCCACAAGAGATGGATGGCGGAGATCGGCGCCTGCTGCCCGTGCCTGGGCCTCACCTGGAGGTGCGTCACCCCCTCCACCTCAGAGAACTTGAAATTCCAGCTCTCGGCCGGCGCCGTGGCTCACTAGGCTAATCCTCCACCTGCAGCACCGGTACCCTGGGTTCTAGTCCCGGTCGGGGCGCTGGTTCTGTCCTGGTTGCTCCTCTTCCAGTCCAGCTGTCTGCTGTGGCCCAGGAAGGCAGTGGAGGATGGCCCAAGTAGTTGGGCCCTGCACCTGCGGGAGACCAGGAGGAAGCACCTGGCTCCTGGCTTCGGATCGGCACAGCACGCCAGCCATAGCGGCCATTTGGGGGATGAACCAACAGAAGGAAGACCTTTCTCTGTCTCTCTCTTACTGTCTAACTCTGCCTGTCAAAAAAAAAAAAAAAAAAAAAAGAAAGAAAGAAAGGAAAAAGAAATTCTGGCTCCCAGGAGCTGGACTGCCTCATCTTGCTGGCTCCCACCCACCAGCTTCCTGCCTGCTCCTCCACCTGCAGTCAGATAATGAGGATACAGCGCCTTCCTTTTTTATAAAATTCTTCGTCATTCATTTTCAGTTTTTGAAAGGGAGGAAGACAGAGGGAGAAAGAGAAGGAAAGGGAGGTGGGGGTGGGGCATGGCCATAGCTTTCCTGGGAGGCTGGGTGCCCTTCGCTGGCTGCACACGGCTGTGTGCAGGGACCGGATGTGTGTAGCAGGGACCGGATGAGCTGCTAAGGAGGGGGTGGCTGGCTGTGGTCTGTGTTTCCTGCTGACCTCTGCAGGTCGGGGACTCCCAGAATCCTCCAGGCCTGGGCTATCTCTTCCTCCTCAAACAAACGGCCCTAGGCTTCCTGCTCTTACTGAATCCATGCATGCATTTTTTCCATCTTTTAGTCTTTGACAAGCTAAGGATGGTTGCCCATTAGTGGGTTATGAAATGCCACCAATGCCAAGACTATCTGTGGCTTTCAATTTTCTTTTGTATAATAAGCTATCTTTTGAGCCGGCGCCGTGGCTCAATAGGCTAATCCTCCACCTTGCGGCGCCGGCACACCGGGTTCTAGTCCCGGTCGGGGCACCGGATTCTGTCCCAGTTGCCCCTCTTCCAGGCCAGCTCTCTGCTATGGCCAGGGAGTGCAGTGGAGGATGGCCCAGGTGCTTGGGCCCTGCACCCCATGGGAGACCAGGAAAAGCACCCGGATCCTGGCTCCTGCCATCGGATCAGCGCGGTGCGCCGGCTGCAGCGGCGGCCATTGGAGGGTGAACCAACGGCAAAGGAAGACCTTTCTCTCTCTGTCTCTCTCTCTCACTGTCCACTCTGCCTATCAAAAATAAAAAAAAAAAAAATAAAATAAAAAAAAAAATAAGCTATCTTTTGATTCCACGTTCCCACAAACTTTTGAAAGTGTCCTTGTGTATGTGAGCTCTTAGACCAATGGTATAAGTGGCAAAACAGAGAAAGATGGAATCACATAACATGTGATTCCAATATCTATTGCATCCCAAGCGCTGTGCTAGCTCCTGGGAACACACTATGGATCTATGGCTTTCTACTCAAGGAGCTCACGGTTCTGTAGGAAATAAGCACATAGAAGCAAATAATGAAAGTAAAATATACTACGAATGCTAACAGCATATACTAGATACGTACTATGTAATGGGTGCTGTCATAGCATTTTAATATGCATCATCTTACATAAGCATAATGATCCTTGGGGGATAGGGCTATCATTACTCTTATTTTACCAGAAAACAGAGATTCAGTATGGTTAGGTCAGGAAGCTGGTCAGTGGCAAGTGGTGTATCAGGAATGTTTTAAAAATGGTGGGGGACTTAAAATGAGTGGCTGCCTCTTGGAAACAGAAAAAAAGGTGGCGGGTCATGTTATTCCCAGTTCTGGACATCAGGTGGCGATGTCAACCCACGGCAGCTTGGTTGCTGGGCTGCTTGGAGGCACCCGCACGGCACAGTATAATACACAGTATAATATCTTGTAATTGGTTCTGACCTGCTCGGGCTGGGAGTGTGTGTTTTTCTGGTGCTTCTCTGCCAGCTGGCTTTCTCTTGGTGTGTACTGGCTGGGGAATCAGAAACGGGAAGCGGGGAGATTTCTGCTGTTGAAGGGGGAACAGAGCTCAGAGAGATGCCAGATTCTGGTACCCCAGGCCGACGCAGTACTTCATGTGCAGTGCTAGCCCTGGGGGCGGTGGCCCCTCTTTGATAAAGCCAGAAATGACCTCCTCCAATTCAGCCGTCAGTGGAGGCTCAGGGGTACTAGCCCAGGCTAGTTATCGTCTCTTCCTCTTTTTCTCTGATTGCTCTCCCGTCTATCCCTAACCCTTATACTGGATTCCTTTGTTAGTGATGCCATTGCTTCCTGAAACATGGGGTGGGTGGGAAACGAGGAATGAGAATCTGTCTACTTCTGTGTCTGCAAAAGACATTGGTCAGTCAGCCTTAATCCTAGGGGTCTAGGGGCGTCCTCGAATGATATTCATTAATTATCATTATTAACAGCACAACAATGCATTGAAGATGGTTAGTCCATGCTTGGATGCCAGGTAATTGGCGCTAAGACTTCCCTTGGAACTTCTGTGTTCTGATTTGTCCTGAGGGGATGCGGGTATTTGGTAGAGCAGTGAAGACACTCCCGTATCCGAGTGCCTGGGTTGCAATCCTGGTTCTTCTTTGATTGCAGCTTTCTGCTAATGTGCACTGCTGGAGGTAGAAGGTGATGGTGCACACACTTGGGTCTCCACCACCCATGTGGAAGATCCAGGTTGAATTCCAGGCCTGACCCAGCCCCAGCTTTTGCAGGTGCGTGAGGAGTAAGTCTTCAGATCTCTCTTTCTCTCCCTCTTCTTGTCTCTGTCTTTCAAATAAACGATGAAAATAAAGAGAATCTAATTTGTTCTGAAGGCAGGCTGAGATGAGCCAGTGACTGTGTTAAATTAATTGGGCATCAGTCCAGGAACTCTGCTTCTTTGTCTCCTACCCTGACCGTCCACGTGACGTTGGTGGCACCAGGAGGCAGACGAACGGAGCACTGGACCACACGCCTACAAACTGCCAATCCATCTTCAACAGTGCCCTTACTTTCTCAGCCTTGCCCCCAGGACAGGGCCCACATGGACCCTTTCATCAAAGCCCATCAAGTGCCAGAGGTTTACAGACGACTCTGGGGGCGTGATTAGGACGGGAGGGAAAAGGCGCCCGGGCCAGTTGGCAAGCCACCTCCTGAGGTCTGTGGCAGCCCCCTAGCTCTCTGTTGATTACTCTCAGCCAAGCTCTTCAGGTTCTCTGTGGGGAGCTTCTCCCTAAGTGCCTACAATCAGGTTAGCAGGCAGCCGGGGAACAAGGCTGAACAATGGCTTTTCCATTTAAGTCAGTTCATATCAGCAAGAGGCCCGAACTCTGGTTTTTTTCCCAGCCTCACTTGGAGATGAAGCGAAGAGCTCCGTCAGTCATCCTGCAGAGGAGAAAACTAGGCCATCGTCGCCCAGAGCATGCACCTGTCCTAGATTTGAGGGCTGCACACGTCCTGTTGGCTTTTGGGTTTCAGAGGGACAACCTGTTGACACCGCTTCACCCCCGAGTGCCTTGGAAGGCGATGAAGGTGTGGACGGGTTCTTCATGCAGCCAGCTGCTCGGGATCTGGTGCTGATACATCCAGCGTCTCCTCCTCCAACTCCCACTGGAGGAGGAGAATCCCACCTCCTGCCCAGCGTGGGTCCTCTCCTTTCCCTCCAGCCGAGCAACCAGCCTGGTCCTTACCACACTGGTCCCGAGTCAGCTGTTGAAGATCCGCCTTTCCCCGACCAGGCAGTGGGTGTTTCAGTCCCAGGGGCCCCCTCCACAGAGTCGTGGGACGCTGGGTAAGTCCTCCGGTCTCTCTACCTATGAAATACGGCAGCACGAGAGCTGGCACCACTGACCTCATGGGGTGGGTTGCGGGTGAGTCTCCAATGGGGTGGTACCAGGTAGGTGCTGGGCCAGCTCTCAGCTGTCTGTCTGTGCCTGTTTTTGCACATGTTAGAAACTGTGGCAGGAAACAGAGTTGTGGCCTCTATGCCTAAGATGCCTTGGAGGATGTGGGTTGGGTTGAGAAATTCCTAGCTCTGACTCCTGACTCCTGCTTCCTGCTAATGCACACCCTGGCTCAAGTAATTGGGTTTCTGCCACCCAGGTGGGAGAACTGGGTTGAGTTCCTGGTTACTGGCTTCAGCTTTGGCCCAGCACTGGCAGTTGCAGGCCATTTGGGGAGTGAACCACTAAGATGGGCAAACTGTCTCTCAAATAATAAAAGAAAGAAGCCATGGCTGCACTCTAGAGCAGGTTCTGTGTCCAACCTACCAAGAGTCTGAGGCACTGAGGAAAAGGAACGTCTCCTTAAAGCTGTGTTTCAGACACAGATGAAGGAAACAGGTGGCTCCCACTGACTCGGGAAAGCAGCTGAAACCAGCTCAGGACAACTGGGCATGCGTCAGTTAGCCCTCTCCTCGCTTTAGTGCTGGAAGAAGGGGCTGAAGGCTTCCCACTGCACGTGTGCTGTGCGTGACGGCAGGGTTCTACTCTGCGCCAGCGTGAGCTTGTGCCCACCCCTCCCTGTGACGCTGAGAACATCCCGCCTTGCGTATTTATTTTCCCTTGGGATAAAGCCACCCACTTCCCCTTGTTCAGGGAGCCACAGCTTTGGAAGGGACTCCCCAGGGTTTCCTTATTTGCTTTAAATGAAAAGGAGCTTTGTGAATAACTCCTCCGGTGTGTTCCTTGAGTAGGCTCACCAAGAAGCCGACTCACAACGCGAGTGAGCGACGCGGACAAGTATTAAACGTTATCTGCGAGTCATCTGGCCAACTTTGGACGTCAGCAGACCTGTGTAATGGCCTCACTGAGGGCTCTTGAAGCATTCATTCGAGAAAGGCCTTCCATCTTCTAGGCCATTTCTTCTCAGACTTTTATATACCTGGAAAACACAGAGTCTGATTCAGTTAAGTGAGGCCAGGCCGGAGGATCTGCACTTTCTGTGGCCTTCCAGAACAAAGCCATGCTGCCCGAGTGTAAGACTACATGGTGAAGCCGGCGCTGCGGCTCACTAGGCTAATCCTCCGCCTTGCGGCGCCGGCACACTGGATTCTAGTCCCGGTCAGGGCGCCGGATTCTGTCCCGGTTGCCCCTCTTCCAGGCCAGCTCTCTGCTGTGGCCAGGGAGTGCAGTGGAGGATGGCCCAAGTGCTTGGGCCCTGCAGCCCATGGGAGACCAGGAGAAGCACCTGGCTCCTGCCTTTGGATCAGCGTGGTGCGCCGGCTGCAGCACGCCAGCCGTGGTGGCCATTGGAGGGTGAACCAACAGCAAAGGAAGACCTTTCTCTCTGTCTGTCTCTCTCACTGTCTACTCTGCCAAAAAAAAAAAAAAAAAAAAAAAAAAAAAAAAAAAAGGTGAGCTGCAAGAGTCTAGGAAATACGTTCTCTTTCCTTGGCGCTTTCTTGGTGTCGTGTGCCATCTCACTGGTCTCAAGTGGGACTCTTATCTTGCGCAGTCTCGCGTGCCGCAGTCATCCCACAAGAAACCACTGGACTATGAAGTGCCCTTGACTGCTGGGTTAAAACAGTAACGTCTGCTCAGTGACCCGCACTTGGCAGTGCACCCGCCAGGGGTTGGTAGCACACCACCTGTTGTGAACATCACACAGCCCAGATATATGGCATTGCTGAGGGCATAGCTGACCATTTTCTTTGCTTGTTTTTGAGCAAAATCTTAAAAGCTTGCTCATTTTTTTTTTTTGCCTTCCCAAATAACACTGACCCTCAGCAAATGTTGGAAAAGCAGAAAGTGCCTGCAGTGAGCAGGAAACCAGGTCAGGCCCCTGGTCGGACATCTGACTGTTGCTTCGAACTTCAGGAACACTGATTTCCACTGCTACAGGACCTCTCCTCTCCACGCTGCCTGGTTCCTTCCCACATATGGGTGAACCCATCACTCAGGACAGACGCTCCACGCCTTGCCCTGCAAGTTCAGAGAAGCCCTTGGACTCACCCCATTGGGATCTCTGCTAGCCCTGAGATAACCACGTTGTCCCCAAGACTCGTATCGAGGGCAAACCTGTTGGTTCAGAGAGGACAGGTGGCACCGTCAGGCCAGCATCTTGGCATCTCTGCTTCCCTGTCTCCCGGAGCAACGGCATCACAGGATGACCGGATCCTTTTGAACAAACACAAGTCCAGGTTCAGCGCTGGGCGACTCCACAAACCATGCACGGACAGACAGAAAGTGTTTGATTGTGTTTCTCAGTTTGGAGCATCAGTGAGTGTAAGAATTTCCCTTCCTTGGATCGTTTTCTTCTCTTTCTCCCCCTCCCCCCCATCTTATCACTGATGTCTGCCATGTTGTGTAATAGCCGTACACTGGAGATTAGACAGAAAACAAGGACTAGGAGGGCAAAAAGGATTCCAGGAGAGAGAAATGAAAGGCAAATGGATTTTGTAATTTCTGAAGATGTGAGTACCAGGATTTCGGGCTTTTCTGTTACTCCTGACAAAATACGCAAGCAGGCACATAAAGAAACCCTGCAGGGAGTGACGAACCAAGTCTTAGGCGATTTTCCTCGGAAGAAAACCCATGCTGATTTGCAAGCGGGGGATCCTGGGTGAGAGGATTTGGAAGGAGATGGAAATGTATCAGTGGCCGCCCAGACGTTTGTCAAAACAACGGAATTCTGTGGAGCAGAAGCGATGAGCAGAAGGGCTGATGCCAGGGAAGGGTGTTCCAAGCGGGCTCTTTGTGTCAGGTTTGTCTCTGCCAAGACAAGGACGCTTCTAGCTGTGTGTGATAAAGCCTTTTGCAAGACAGGTGTTCAATCTGACCTTAAAGGGCGCGTGACTTTGCTGACTGCGGATGTGTGGCCTCACCCTCGTGCCCCCATACCCCCATACCCATCCTGGGATTCTTCTTCCTGGGCCCAGCGGCACCTGCATGATGTCAGGGCTTAGTAAGCACCTCTTGGACATGGGGACAGGGTCAGGACACCCTCTGTGACTCTTCCCAGATGGGAGAGAGAGTTTCTCACAAGGAACTGGAGGTGCTGTTATAGGAAGAACGAGGAGGCGATGGCTGGGCAACTGAAATCAACAGCACTTGGAAAGTGAGACTTGATTCCAGTACCGGACTGAGCCTGTGCTGAAGTCACTGCTTCCTGGATGGCTGTGATGGCCCTGACATCCCACGGCTTGTGGGTGAAAAGTACCCTGTCCTCCTGAGGCATGGCATCCCACTAGCAGTGGGTACCCCTCATGCATGGCTCTTGGTTCCTAAATACCTCTGTCCATTAAAGTAGCAAGGACTTTTTGGAGAAGTGGCTGACTTCAGGGTTGGGGCAGGAAGGGACAAGGCATGCCTGAAGTATCTTTTGTCATTGTAAAGTATGGAGTTCTAATAAATAACTGGTAAGGGCATATCACAGTGATGTGGAAACCAGCTCGCGCATGCTCTCACTTTAAAATCTGGATCAAAGTGTTTAAATTTGGTTCCCCAAATCTGGGCTCATCTGAGCATCACAATCAATAATGATAGATAGGGATCATAACTCCCAGGATCCTTGAGTCCATACTGAGAATAAGAAGGGAAAAAGATAAGGGAAGCCTTTATAGAAGGTAGTCAAGGAATAAATGTGGAAGATTTTAGAAACTTCCATTTCACAACCACCATGCTGAAAAGTGATGATTCTTGTGTGAAAAAGCTCAGCCCGGGCTGAAACCAGCAGACTAAAGTATTGATGGGGGCTTGGGTTGTGACACAATGGGTTAAGTCACTGCTAGCGTGGCATCCCTTATGAGTGCTGTTTACATTCTGGCTCCACTTCCCTGCTAATGTGCCTGGGAAGACAGTAGATGTTTGTTCAAGTACTTAGGCCCCCGCCACCCATGTGGGAGACCCGGATGAAGTGCCCAGCTTCAGGCTTCAGCCTGGCCCAGCCTTGGCCATTTTGACCCTTTAGGGAGTGAACCAGTGGATGGAAGGTCTCTCTCTCTCTCTTTGTCTTGCCCTCTCTCTCTCAATCTGACTTTCAAATAAATGAATGAATAAATGAATAAATCTTTTTTTAAAATAGGGACAATGGGGGCATTTGAATGTGGGCTGACAATAGCATTGACATTTAACCTCCAGAGGTGCTAGCTTTGCTACAGTTTTATAGGACAGCGTCCTTGCTCTTAACAGAGGGAGCTGAGTCAAGATCTGCACCTCACCCTGAAATGTGCCAGCACGTGTGCAAGTGCAGAGAGAGCAGTCAGGAAATGTGAAAAATATTAACAGTCCAATCTAAAGGATGCATGGATCGTCTTTTGTTGTACCATTTCTACAAGTTTTCTGTGAATTTGGAGTTTCCAAGTATTAACCGTTGGGGAACAATTGCACCTGTGTGGGTCCTCCTCCACAGCAGATTTCGAGGCACCCGTCTCTGTCTCGGCCAACAGCAGCCCTGGTGAGTCAGTTTGTCAAATTTTCAGCAGTTGGCGTGCTTGGCCCTTGATCACACAGTCTGAAGGATGTGTCTCCATGTCCAGCTGGAGAGAGAGAGAGAGACAGACAGACAGACAGACAGGGACAGGTGTTGGGCAGATGGAGTTTGAAATGACCGGTTATGAATTTTTGAGCTCACATCTTTCAGTCTTGAGTTCGCCAATGAGTCAAAGTCAACCTTGGACTTGAAAGCCGACTTGTCAGTCAGATGGGAACCCCAAAGTTATGCCCGCTCCTCCTACCCCTCCCACACCCCAAGACACCTGTCAGATTTGACCATATGCCAGGAACCATTCTGATGCTTAAGATAGGATGAACTGTAACCAGTGGGGACATGTTTGAAATATGTTACTATCCCCGATCATGCCTGGGTGGGGAGCGTCCAGCCCATGGGCCACTTACAGCCCATGAAGTCGCCTGGTCTGGCCCTGCCAAGGGAGCCACAGGAGGGACTGAAAATTCTGTAAGTCCATAGCAGGCCGATTGTTAATTTTATTTTATTGAAGGACAGGATGATCTTTAAGTTGATAATTGTGTGTGGCCTGCAAATCATATTAAATATCCTGATGGCTCTGGGCAGAAAAAGGGTTCCCCACCGCTGCAGGAACCACACGCTCAATACAAAAACAACCAAAAAGAATACTGACGAAACGAGACAAACAGGCTACTCACAAAGCAAGACAGCAAAGTGGCTAACACATGCCTGAGACTGTAGGCAACCTCCTGGGGAGAAGGAGGCTTGGTTTTCATTTACAATGAAATGCAGTTGTTTATTCTTCAGGCTGGAATAAATTAAAACCATTGCTACTATGTTGAGTGGGAGAGAAATAAGAAAGTTATATGCACTCTTGGTGTGATAATAAATTGTCACATTTTAGGAAAACTGCTTTCTGTTACAGTGAAACAAATGCACTTTCTCATTGCCACAGAAGGTTCATCTTTGGGAATCCTTCACAGGAACAAAGGCACCCGTAGCTCAGCAGGTGCTGGCCACAGAGGGTCCCTACCACTCCCAGAAAGCACCCACAACAACCAGCCTGGAGACAGTCTGAAAGGCTGCTTACCGGGGAATGGTTGGCTGAAGAGAGAATTTCCAGTGCTCTGGGAGAGTCATTCATTCATTTACCATATATTCATTCATTCACTCACTCATAACCATGTGTCTTGTGGCTCTACTCTGGGCCAGGTGTTGTTATAGAAACGAGGGATAGGACAGTGAGTAATACAGACTTGGTCCCTTGAGCATGAAGCTTACATTCTAATGTGTGTGTGTGCACATGTGTGTATTTTGTGTGTGTGTGTATGTGTGCATGAGAGAGAGAGAATAAACAAATAAAATAAGATAGTTTTAAAAGAATTTTATTTATTTTCAACTTTATTCTAGAGGCAGAGAGACAGATATATGCACAGAGAAGTCTTCCATCCACTGGTTTACTCCAGCAGCCAGGGCTGGACCAGGCCAAAGCCAAGAGCCAGGCACTCCATCTGGGTCTCCCACATTGGTGACAGAAGTCCAAGCACTTGAGCCATCTTCTGATGCTTTCCCAGGCACATTAGCAGGTAGCTGGACTGGAAGTGGAGCAGCTGGGACTTGAACTGGCTCTTGCATGAGCTGCCAGTGATGCAGGCACCAGCTTAACACACTGTACCACAATACTGGCCCCATAAAATAAATTTTAAAACAGTCACAAAATCACTAACACTTTAGCAGTGTGTAATTCCTATCAATTTGTTTCACAAACATTTAAAGCAGGGTTTGACAAAACACTGTACTTTCATCATTTTATAAGAACCCATTTGTGTGGGAACTCACTCATTCAGTGAGACCAGTAATCGCATGCGAGCTCAGTGTCCCCAGTGACCTAATCGCCTACCCCGGGCCTCACCTTGTCAAGGTCCCCCACGTCAACACCGCCACGCTGGGGACCGAGCGTCTGGACAGGAGCCCTGGGGGGCCCAGTCAGATCACATCCATACCACAGCACGCCCCCTGGTCTTCCCAGCATTCTCTTTCTCTTTGCTATCTCTTGACTCCCACCCCAGGGAAGAGCCAGGAAATTTCACTGGATTTGCCAAGACTGTTGGCGACTGTGATGTAAAAAGCAATAAATTCTGGGCCAGTGGTTATCTAGGCATAGATTTCTGTGCATACATAATAAATATATACTTAAAATGTGTGAATTTTAGCCCACATAAATTCTACTCCAGTAAAGTTGATTTAAGGAAAGAGCAAGTTAGATTTATATATATTGTCCTGGGAAGATATTTATGAGATACAGTTAAGATAATTTTTTTTTGCGTGAAAGAAGCAAGTTCTGCAGCGATGAGCAAAGATAAGGTTTTTTTTTTTTTTTTTTTTTTTTTTTTTTTTTTTTTTGCAGTTGAAGCAGGTGAAATAGAAGAAAAGCCCTGTGTGTGTTTCCTGTGTTTCTAATATAAACACAGAGGGATTGGAGAAAGGAACACACACTGCTTATGCAGAAAGGGAGTGGGGATGGGAAAGAATTGGATTTTTTTTTGTATCTCTCTGTATCATTTGACTAGTCCCAATGAGCATATAGTACGAAGGGTGTTTTTGTTTTTGTTCTTAAAAAAGATTTATTTATTTATTTAAAAGTCAGGTCCACAGAGAGGGAGCAATGGAGGGAGGGAGGGAGAGAGAGAGGTCATCCATCCATTCCCCCAAATGGCCACTAACAGTTGGTGCTGGGTCAAAGCCAGGAGCCTGGGACTCCCTTTGGGTCTCCCACATGGGTGCAGGAGACCAAGCACTTAGGCCATCTTCTACTGCTTTCCCTGCCACATTAGCATGGAGCTGGATTGGAAGCAGAGCAGCCAGGACACGAACAAGCACCTAATATGGGATGCCAGCACTGCAGGTAGCAGCTTAACCTGCTGTGTCACAATGCTGGCCCCACAAAGGGCATTTAAAAAAATTATATTTATTTGAAAGGACGGAAGAGAGAGAGAGAGAGAGAGAGAGAGAGAGAGAGACTGCCACATTCACTTGGTTCATTCTCTAAATGCCTACAACAACCAGGACTGGGCCAGGCTGAAACCAGGAACTTGGAACTATGTCTGGATCTCTGTTGTGGGTGGCAGGAGTCCAGTTACTTGTGCCACACCTGCTGTCTCTCAGGATGTGCGTTAGCAGGAAGCTGGAATCATGGAACAAGCGTTTGAATCCAGACGCTCTCATGTGGGGTACAGATGTCCCAAGTGGTGATCTACTGCTCCACCAGAATGTCCACCCCATTCAGTGGTTTTCATGGAGGGCTCATCCCACTGGTGTGATGGATTAACTGACTCTCCAGCCCCTTCCTGTTCCCAAAAGATGGGGGCAGGGCTGAACATTCCAAGATGCCAATCATGACTTGGTCTTTCCGGTGACCTCCCTCAGCCACGAGCCCACCAAGAGTTTCCTCATTAGAACAAAACCAAAAGAAAGTTCAAGGGATTAGGCATTCTGTGGCTTTAAGCAGGATCAAAAGCCAAATATTTGAGCAAAAGGTTCTCTTAGCACCCCTATTGCACAGGGAGATACAAGACTTTTGGGAGCTCTGAAACTAGGAAGTAGGGATGAGATCAAAATACGTGTGAATATTTCTCATAATAAATCCCACTGTGGCTCCGTCTCCTCTAGTTCTTTTTCTTCCACTTCTGTACGCCAAAAATCAGACCAGCGGCTCAAGTCCCAACTCCAAGGCCAAATCCTTCAAATTGTCTTTCTTTTATTTAAAGTTTCTTCATTTGAAAGGTACACACACACACACACACACACAGTGTCCCACCCACTGGTTCACTCCCCAAATGGCAGCAAGAGCCTGAGCTGAGCCAGGCCAAATGCAGGAGCCTAGAACTCCATCCAGGTCTCCCACATGAGTGGCAGGGGCCCAAGCACTGGAGCCATCACCTGCCGCCTCCCAGGGTGTGCCTTAGCAGGAAGCTGGATTAGAAGTGGAGGCAGGACTTGATCCATCTTTCTGTCTAAAATGGGGCTTCCCTGTTCTCTGATTCCCACAGGTGCTGTATTCCTCTTACACGGTGGCATTTGCATTTTCCTAATTGTACCTATTTACATAGATCATAATGCTCCCGGAACACTAGTCAAGGAAACTTCAAAACTTTATGCAAGACGTGTATTATGAAAACACTATGTTGGGGTTCGTGCTGTGGCATAGCAGGGAAAGCCGCTGCCTGCAATGGTGGCATCCTGTGTGGGCACTGGCTGTTCCACTTCTGATCTAGCTCTCTGCTATGCCTGGGAAATCAGTAGAAGATGGGCCTTGTCCTTGGGCACCTGCACCGGCGTGGGAGACCCAGAGGAAGCTCCTGGCTCCTGGCTTTGGATCTGCACAGTGCTGGCTGTTGCGGCCACCTGGGGAGTCAACCAGTGGATGGAAGACCTCTCTCTGTCTCTGCCTCTGCCTCTCTGTAACTCTGCCTTTCAACAAATAAATAAATCTTAAAAAAAAAAAAACCATACTATGCATGGATCTCTTTTCTTTTACACAACAAAATAAGCTTTTCTTTTAATTTAACTTTCCACAAACTTCTTGAAATACTTTCCTAATTTAATCTTAGGCAAGATCCATATCAGATTGAACTTCTTGAATACAAGCAATAAGAAATCAGTTGTTGCAAGGGGATTGGAGATTTTAAAAAAATAAATTCTGGCTATAAAATTACAGAGTGCTCACTACCTGAAAAGCAGCTAAAGAATCTACAGAACAGTGAAGTTCTTTTTTGATTCTTCATCTCTTAGGTGTTATTCAAAAGAAGCCCTACCAATCCACCAAACTAACAGAAAGATCCGTAATCTTCTGTGTTGAATATGGTGTGAAATGCTCTAAATGCTTAGAGTTGGAGTAGGGAAGAACTTGACTTAGGAAATACGAAATTCTATATTTTGCAACAAAATGGATGCAACTGGAAACCATTATACTTAGTGAGTTTAACCAGTCCCCAAAAGACAAATAGCATATGTTTTCTATGATAACTAATGGTGACTAATGGAGTACCTAAAATGTAACGTAGAGGAGTGAAATTGACACTTTGAGATTTGATGATTGTTCATAGCCTTTGTCTCTGCTGTTGAGGATTAGTGGTTTGTTTTTTCCCTCATACTATTGAATCGCTATGTTCCTAAATTTGTATACATGAAATGCATGAAGGGGGTATGGCTTAAATAAAATTTAAAAAGAAGAGGCCGGCGCTGCGGCTCACTAGGCTAATCCTCCGCTTTGCGCCGCCGGCACACCGGGTTCTAGTCCCAGTCAGGGCGCCAGATTCTGTCCCAGCTGCCCCTCTTCCAGGCCAGCTCTCTGCTGTGGCCAGGGAGTGCAGTGGAGGATGGCCCAAGTGCTTGGGCCCTGCACCCCATGGGAGACCAGGAGAAGCACCTGGCTCCTGCCATCGGATCAGCGTGGTGTGCCGGCTGCAGCGCGCCAGTCGTGGTGGCCATTGGAGGGTGAACCAACGGCAAAAGGAAGACCTTTCTCTCTGTCTCTCTCACTGTCCACTCTGCCTGTAAAAAAATAAATAAATAAAAGAAGAAGAAGAAGAAGAAGAAGAAGAAGAAGAAGAAGAAGAAGAAAATTTTACAAATAATAAAAAAATGATGCACATGCAAGAGAATTTATCACACAGCTGATTCTAAGAATGAAAACCACGGGGCTGGGAAGCGACCTGCATGTCATTTGGTGGCAGATGGCTTGGTAGAATGTGGCGCACCTGTGCTAGGTGAGGCCCTGTGACTGTGAAGACAAACTGGATCTCCAGCCATCCCTCTGCAGCGAGATCCACAGTGTGCTGTGCAGCGGGGCAGGAAGAGACAGGGACGATGGACTGAGTGGAAACACCACGATGCAAGTCAGCACTGCCAGGAGGGAGGCGTGGGAGGAGGCTGGGTGGAGCAGCAGTGCCACACTCTCTCTCAAAGCCACCCAGGAAACGACACAGTCCCCTCCCCAGCGGCCATGATCCCCTGAGGAAGGAACCACGCGCGTCTAGCATTTGGGGAGGTGTTGGCGTCCCGCTTGGGGATTTCCCCAAGGATCGCCTGCGTCATTGTGGTATCCTGAACTTCAGATAAAGAGACCCCCTTCACGTTGGTTAATATCTTTCATTTGTGGCGCTTGAAGACTTGCAGCTTTATCTTCTATTTGGGTGACATTCGAAGGGCTGAGTGTGAACCTTCCCCTCTTTGCTTACTGAGACAGTCTGTCGAGCATTGGAAATGCCACTTACACGCATTCCAGCGGAGACCGATGTCTGATAGATGCTCCAGCTCACCAGTGTCAGAGACATGCAGGTTCAAGTAACGACGCGATACGAGTGCCTCGCTGAGGCTGGGCAAAGATGGAGAAGCAATTTACACCTGGCGTGAGGGGTCTGCACGAAGTTCATGGGAAGTGTGTGCCCTGGAAGAAGCTAAGCATGGACCTCAAAAAAATGCTGCACCAAAATTAATTTAGCTTTTAATTCAGTTTCCTGTGAACTTCTTGATGCCTCCTCTTCCTGGTGGGCAGCAGAGAAAGGGGTGCTCTCTTCTGTTGTTGGTGGAGATGAGAACGTGTTTAGCTTTTTTCATCACATTTATTAAAATTAAAGTGTGCAGGTTCTTTGAGATCATCATAGAACTTTGGGTACATACCCGTTAACAGAGGCAGTGACACACGTGTCGATCGCCCACGTGATGACATGTGATTGACACGAGAATGACGTCATCAGCGACACTGCTGAAGCCTTGCGTGTGTTGCTCTTGAGCCCATTTACTTTGCTCTACTTTTCCTCTAGAGAAGAATCTGATCTTGTCCTCTCACTTTCTACTTTGAAAAATGGTTAAAAAAAAAAAAAGAAAGAAAGAAACGTGTGTACTCTTTGACCCAGAAATCCCGCTCTCAATGTCCACTCTCCGAGAAAGAAATGCCCTCTCACACAAGGACATTTGTAGCAAGGATGTTCATTGCAGCACTGTTAGTAGTAGCAGAAGAGGACTGATAAATGATAGGACATCCACTCCCTGGAATGTTCTAGAAAGGACGAATTAGAGCAAACCAGAGGCCGAGGAGGGATTATCATGGCATGAGGGAGAAGATGGACCCAGGAAAGTGGGTATGCCTATGGGTTGCACACAGTGTGTAAATACACTTATCTTTTAACTCCATTTGTGTGAGTAGTTTGAAGTACCCTCATATGTAGGTTGTTGGGTGTGAAATGTGTGCGCGTGGAGACAACTTTGGAAGAGTGCACTCTAGGTTAGCAGCGAGGACTGCCCTGGAGGGGACGGGCAGTGCAGAGTGGAGGGAGACAGGGTTGGGCACACAAGCAGGATAGAAGAGAAAAAAATCTTTTTTTTAAACATTTATTTTATTTGTTTGAAAGAGTTACACAGAGAGGTAGAGAGAGAGAGAGAGAGGTCTTCCATCTGCTGGTTCACTCCCCAAATGGTTGCAACAGCCAGAACTGAGCAGATTCGAAGCCAGGAGCTTCCTCCAAATCTCCCTTGTGGGTGCAGGGGCCCAAGAACCTGGGCCATTTTCTGCTGCTTCCCCAGGTGCCTTAACAGTGAGCTGGATCAGAAGTGGAGCAGCTGGGACTCAACCTGGTGCCCATATGAGATGCTGGCGTTGCGGGCTGGGGCTTTAACCCACTGTGCCACACTGCCAGCCCCAGAAAAAAATTTTTACTTGGGCCTCAGTTGCTTCATCAGAGAAATGTAGATCAAACTTCCTATCTCGCAGTGGACATTTGGCCTATCATTTAAGATGCCTGGATTCCGGGGTAGACATGTGGCATCATGGTTAAATTGCTGCTTGGGGCCGGTGCCGTGGCACAGTAGGCTAGTCCTCCACCTAGTGGCGCCGGCACACCGGGTTCTAGTTCTGGTCGGGGCGCCAGATTCTTTCCCGGTTGCCCCTCTTCCAGGCCAGCTCTCTGCTGTGGTCCAGGAGTGCAGTGGAGGATGGCCCAAGTGCTTGGGCCCTGCACCCCATGGGAGACCAGGAGAAGCTCCTGGCTCCTGCCTTCGGATCAGTGCAGTGCGCCGGCCGCAGTGCGCCAGCCGTGGCGCCATTGGAGGGTGAACCAATGGCAAAAAGAAGACCTTTCTCCCTGTCTCTCTCTCTCACTGTCCACTCTGCCTGTCAAAAAAAAAAAAAAATTGCTGCTTGGGATGCTACAATCCCATAACATAGTTCCTGGTTCCAGTCCTGGCTACTCCGCTTCTGACCCACCTTCCCGCTAATGCACACCCTGGGAGGAAGCAGATGATGGGTCAAGTACTTTGGTCCTTGCCACCCACGTGGAAGACTTGGCTTGGTTTCCAGACTCCTGGCTTCAGCCTAGTCCAGCCCTGGCTATTCTGGGGAGTGAACCAGTAGATGGAAGTGTTCTCTCTGTATATCTCTCTGTCTTTCAAATAAAGTGGAAAAACAATTTAAAAAGCCTGCATCCAGTATTAGAGAACCTGGCTCTGGCTCCTGCCTCCAGCTTCCTGCTAATACAGAGCCTGGGAAGCAGTGGTGGGGACTCAAGTTGTTGGATCTCAGGCTCTCACGCGGGAGACTTGGACTGAGTTCCCACTCACGGCTTCAGCCCTGGCCTAGCCCTGGCTGTTGCATGCATTTGAAGAATGAACCAGAGGATAGGAGTTTTTTCTGTCTACTGTCTTGTTATGTCCCTTAAAAAATCCTCTCCTATTTTTGGCCCAGGGCTTATATAAGAATTTCATGAGAGGATGGGAAAGCTTTTTATTGAAATTGTTCAAGACTTTTCCCAAACGTGTGATGGTGGGATTTATTATGATACTTAGAAGAGCTGTGCAATTTTGGGCAAATGGTTTTATTGTTCCAGTTTTAATGAGGTTTCACTGTTAGAGATAATAGTAACTAACCCAATTAACAGGCTGAACCTGAACTAATGAAATCACTGTGCCTGGATTAAATGTACAGTCCTCAACTATGATCAAATCCAAAGTTATGTAACCCAACTGCTAAATCCCTCCTCTTTCCTGTTTCAGTCACACTGTCTTGGAAACAATCCTGCTGGGTCTGCAAAGTGGAGACCATGCACTGTCTCAGGGCCTCAGCACACAATAACATGGAAGTTGCCAGGCACAGAGAGTGGAGACACTGCCCTACACAGAGGGTAGAGAGCTGCCGCACCAATGGCCAGGGCTGGGCTGGAGCAGAAGCTGGGAGCGAGGAACTCAATCTAGGTCTCCCACGTGGATGACAGGAACCCCATCACTTAAGCCATCACCACTTCCTCTCAGGGTCTGCATTAACAGGAATCTGGAGTCAGAGGCTGGAGCTGGGACTGAACTAGGCACTCTGATGAGACATGTCTTAACTGGTGTCTTCCTAGAAGCTAGATGCCTGCCCCTATTACATATTTTTCTTACAGATTTATTTAGCTGAAATAGTTAGAGAGAGAGAGAGAGAGAGAGAGAGAGAGAGATCAATCTTGCATCTGCTGGTTCACTCCTCAAATAGCAGCAATGGCTGGAGCTGGGCTGACCCAAAGCCAGGAGCCAGGAGCTTCCTCTGGGTCTCCCATGTGGATGCAGGGGCCCAAGGACTTGGGCCATCCTCTACTGCTTTCCCAGGCCATAGCAGAGAGCTGGATCAGAAGTGAA